CACCACCCACTCTCACTCTCCCTTCAGTAAATACCTTTGATCGGGATACTACTATAGTTGTATCGTCGTCCTGGAACTGCACTAAAAAGTGCGTACTCTCTCGTATTAATTTTTTTTTTAAATCTCATACATTTATTTCGGGTAAATAAATTTGAACATATTTGGATATTTTAAAATGCTTTAAATCACATGCAGCACTATAATAATACAGAATTCGACAAAAATTACGTTTACACTAGAATAAATAATGGACAGATGAAAAACATTGAAATGCTGTAACATTAAAAATGGATATTTTAGCCATGAACAGTTCACTTTTGTAATAAATATAATATAAGAGTGCAATGCAAAATTGAAATATACATCCTTCATAATCATGTCTTATACGAAAGGCGAAATACGCGGACGTAACAAAAGCCATATATAAAATGACAGAAAAAGACAAAAATATAAATGGAAATATAATTGAATTGGGAATAAATATTCTTTCATAATCATGTCCTATACGACATGTCCTTGTAGCCATGTTGAAATAATTCAGGAAGAGCTGATCATTTGAGATGTGTTATATATTCGTTTGGGGTTAGTTTGGCTTCCAATACAAGCCAATATTAGAAAATATAAATAATAACAACAATAAAACACCAAAGAATGAACCGAATACTGGTGTGATTTTAACGGATTAAGTAAGTTGAACAGTAGATACAATAAAATAAAATACCTATAAAATATTTACATATTGACGGGTCGTGCCTTTTATTGGAGTTCTGAAAAGAAAACAAAAATAGAAACAGTTACAATAAATGCATTAACTGTAAAAATGCATTAAGTAAGAGAGAGTCCTAAGCGACGTAATTAGTTACTCCTGTAGGACTTGCACGTTACCCAAAAATACAAAACCCCGCTCCAGCAACTTACTTGTCCCGAGCGGAACGATTGATCATCCCGGCGGGACTTGCAAGCCACCAGATACAAAGTGTCACCTTGGAATGTTTACCTCCAGCGGAATAAATAATCACTCCTGCGAGGTTCGCATCCCCCGACCGTTCCACTAAGACTGACTTTGACTGGCCTTATATACCCTATCTATACCCTCTGCACGACAGAATGCACGTGCATGAACCTTGACCCGACTTGTAATCCAAATTCAGAACCCGCTATCCATTGGCCGTTTTTTTTATCCCCACTACCCAATCAGAAGCTCCAAACTACCCATCTCCAGCCATTCAACAAAATGGCGGGTTTCTCTAGAATTTCCACGTGGTACGACCGGCAATTCAAGTTTGACGTAATATAGAGTTGATAATATAGGCCATTTCTATGTATGGGACAGAAATTAAGTGAGTCAAAGTTTATCTCAACGCTTCTCACATACGAAACCCCCACGTTAAGACTGAACGCCTGACCAACAGAAAGGCGTGAAAACGAGACCCTCACCGGAACTAACCATGGCAAATAAAGAAATAACAACTAAGCTAAAGTAATTGATACCTAATTCTTTTATGATATCCTTATTGAAATATATATATTACAAAACCATTTACACACTAAACCATTCTAAACTGTCGATTTCATTCTCCGGTGGCGGGACAGGCCGCCCAGGCTCATCCTGTAAGATTACACTGCCCTCACGCGTTTCCACCAATTTTAGTCGACTGTCCCGTGGTATGCTGTTGTTTCCTAGTGCTAGAGAGGGGTGCGGGACCACCCTGTCCCGTGCCCTAGACGCCTCAGATCGTCTATTTCTTGTTGGCGGAAGAGCACCACCCGGCGATAAAAAGTTCTTATTAATTACTTCCCTCTCCTGGAGGGTAGCCCGTCCCTGATGATGGAGCCTCAAGTGTCGTCTACCATGGGAGGCAGTGTTAAAGACGACACGGCATCTGGAGCACCTAAAGACTATACAAGTGGCCGTATGTATGCACTTCCAATGTTGTCTATATTGTCTATAAGTTAAGTAGAGGGTGCTATCACACTCTGCCACAGGGCATGTCATCCCATCCTCCGGAAAGGGTTCCCGAATCCTATGTTGGAGTTCCTGAAGTTCCTGCTCGTCCACAGAGATCTCCATAATGATACGACTGAAATGATAAGAGTACAACCTACGTTAACTTGATAAAATTCGGACCAAACTACCAACAAAATAACTACGAGAGAGAAACTACATTTCTTTACAAAATCAGGTAAGAAAAACAGCGTAATTCTAATCATTTCCAAATGCTACACGTCTTAAGTAATTATGACATGAAATGGGGTTTAACGTCCTACTCTTCTGCACCTAACCTGGGCTAATTGAAGACGGGCATACGCCATACAATGTGCTATGAGGGAAATTTTGCCGGGGCAGCGGCGCTACGGCCTACTCTTATATCGAATTCCAACTGCCAAGGGATCTTTTACGTGCACGCCAATGTGTACACGGGACCTCGGTTTTTCGTCCCATCCGAACGACTAGGCAGCTGTCCTTGTCAGGCCCTCCGTTCTGCATCACTGACAAGGGGAAACCACGCCGGAAAATCGAGATGAGTTTTCTCGGCCAATGCAGGGATCGAACACCCGACCTCCAGGCTAGCGAGCCAGCGCCTTACCCACTTAGCCACGTGATCCCCCAGTAATTATGACACTTAATCCATTTTCCGCAGGTGTATAAGGCACTTTAGGTTTTACCACCCGACCAGTACGAGTCCGAACCAGAGGCAGCGGTTCCTCAACTACCAAATTGCTCCGCTCAACCCCAGACATATCAGACTCGACACTCTCAGAAATGGATTCCACCTCATCCGATGTACCTACTAGCCAATTTTCAGGGGCGTTCACTCCTGAATAACCCTTCAACTGATTTATATGCACTGAAATTCTAGGCCTCGCCTCCGTTTTTTGTATAATATAAGTAAGTTCCGTTAATTTATCTACTATTAGATAGGGACCCGTCCATCCCAGCGAAAGTTTCACCCCTGCGGCTGGAAGATACTCACATAACAAACTGTTGTTAATTTTACGTAAAAATGGTCAGTCAGTTTACCATCATTTTGCTCATCTTTTTAACGATAAGTTTACGTCAGGAAATGGCGTTAATCTAACGTAAAGTTTACGTCATTTTTACGCTATATTTACGTCATTTTCTGACGCACATCTAACGTAAAGTTTACGTCATTTTCTGACGTAAATCTAACGTAAAATTTGCGTAAATTTTACGTCACTTACGTTACATTTACGTCAGAAAATGACGTTACATTTACGTCAGAAAATGACGTAAACTTTACGTTAGAATTGCGTCAGAAAATGACGTAAAGTTTACATTAGATTAACGTCATTTGCTGACGTTAAATTATCGTTAAACAGATGAGCAAAATGATCGTAAACTGACCGACCATTTTAACGTAAATCTGACATAAATATAACTCTATCTTTTGACGTTCATCGGAACCAAGTGGCTCAGTTAGGACTTTCTGGTGTGTTTCCCTCCGTCAGTGGTGTAGGACAATGGCCCGGCAAGGGATAACGTACAGTCGTTCAGATGGTACGAAAAACCAATAATGTAAAACAAACATTAAATTAACATCACTTTTGAGATGGAAATATAACCATTTAAATGTTATACAATAAACGCAACATTAATACAATAACTAAAAGATATGCACATATAGTCTTTTCAAATCCCTTCCCACTTCGGGACTAACACATCATGGTTCAATTTTATTTCAATAATTCGCTTGCACATTGGGGTCTTTAGCAATAGGAGTAATTCACAGGACCTGGAAAAAACACACGACTCCTTGTCATGTATAACCAGGGAATTGAAACCATATACCACCATTATGATATAACCCACACATGCTAAAAATTAGGGTATCAAACACCCCATTCCCTTCTGAAACTTAATTACAACAAACACTGTCAATAAAGTATCTAAATTTTATTTAGAAAATAGATATAAAAATATATTTTAAAGTATAACAGCACTCATACATATACATAGTCTATATAGCACTATTATTTTCTTTTACATTATGAAAATGGAGAGAGAGAGAGAGAAATGGGGTTTAACGTCCACTCGACACCAACTAGGTCATTTTGGGACTAACATGGTTTAATTTTATTTCAATAATTCACTTGCACGTAGGGGTCTTTAGTAGTGGGAGGAAACCGAAGGACCCGGAGAAAACCCACGTGGTTGGACAGGCGACCTTACTCCTTCGAAACCACGCCAGTTGACTCAATGACAGGCTTCATGATACAACGTGCACGTGCTAACCATAAATGACACCAATTTGGGTTAATTTTATTTCAATAATTCGCTTGCGCATAGGGGTCTTTAGCAGTGGGAGGAAACCGGAGGACCCAGAGCAAACCCACGAGGTTGGACAGACGACCCTTCCCCTTGTCACATACAACCGGGGATTCGAAACCATGCCAGTTGACTCAATGACAGGCTTTGTGATACAGCGCGCAGGTGCTAACCATTCGGTCATTCGCCCCCCTTATGAAAATGGATTATAAAACATATAACAAAAAACTTCAATAACAAGAATACAAGCACTGTGATGAACAAACCATTACTATATACATGTACAACATAAAATAACATCATTACAGAGAAATTTCATTCAAACATACATCAATATCAAAAAGCAAAAAAGGGGAACAATTAGCACTATAAAGGATACCCCCCCCCCCCAACCCAATATTAAACTACGAAAATAAAATAAAAAATGAATCCATAATATAAAAAGTAACGGTATATACACAGATTTGAAAATCTAGACTGCACCTATCCAATATATTAAGACCATCAATCACTTCCTTGCTAATCATCACACCAATAGGAACAGTATTTCTTTCAAAATATTAGATAGAGCTCTCAAGTGCAGCTACTAAGCGCAAGGGAGATAATCAGAGCTAGTGAATGTACATATTTCCCAAAAATAAAAATTACCAACATCATAACTTGAAAACAAAATACACATGCAGAAAAAAATTACATATTTACAAAATGACCCTTTTCATTCTTTCTGGCGCATAACGCAGCCAATTTTTTATGCATTCATTTATTTCTAAATCTGTTGCATGCCTGGTCATAGGATTTTTTCGTACAGCCCCTGAAAAAAATTTATGAAATAATTTAACACTCTTCCACATAATGGGGGGGGGGGGGGGCAAGGTTAGCGTGCGCGCTGTATCATAAAGTCTGTCATTGAGTCAACTGGCATGGTTTTGAATCCCTAGTTGTACGTGACAAGGAGTAGGGTCGCCTGTCCAACCTTGTGGGTATTCTCCGGTTTCCTTCCACTGCTAAAGACCCAGACGCGCAAGCGAATTATAGAAATAAAATTAAATCATGTTAGTCCCGAAATGACCTAGCTTGTGTCGAGTGGACATTAAATCCCATTTCTCTCTCCCATATTGCACTATCTGTGTTCTGTATGCATCGTTGTGAATCAAACTCTACTGAAACACCTACATACTATATTTATCATCTCAGGACCTTTATAAATTTAAAGCCAAGCTGGTATTAATTTTAGCCGCTAGGGTGTCTGTAAGCAGAGAGGGGTGATGATTGTAAAACTAGTTACTTACTTTCAATAATGTCTTTAAAAATCAGTGTAGAAAAAGCTGTTTTGTCCCCCTTTCCCTTCCAATTGTAATGAGTAGCGAGTGTATCGGTAAACAAAACTTTCATAATTCTTTTCGTCACTTCTTTTGCATTTGTACCCCCAATGGTACTCAAATGTAAGATCTGTAAAAACAAAAGTGATATTTTTTTTTTATAGAAATGTTTAAATTTTTCACTGGCAGCAATTGCGTGTAAATTAGAGACTGTAAAGAGGATGACAGTATGAAAAAATATTCAAATGCAGGCTAATAGCACTTATGCTTTTACTATCGCATTTATTTATCACTCTCTATTATATTTTGGGTATTGCTTTCATCTAGGTGTATTGAAATTACCGGTAATGTAACTCGTGAAAATTTTAATGAACAAAATAAACTTACCAAACTCTCTTTTTTGCTCTTGTCTTTCAGCGACATCATTACACCATTACATTCTACGATTGTACTCATAGGCAATTTAAGTGATGCTGGGAGTTCTAATTCTGGTCCAGCAACATCTGAAAATAATGACTTAAAAATTGTCTTAGAACATCGATCCACTAGTTTGGGTAGAACGATGTTTTGATAATTTCACATCGCTGAATTTGTAGCCTATCTAGATCTGTAATCTATATAAAAAGTAACTTACCTTCAAATATAACTCGCTCAACTATAACTGGTATAATATATCTTGTTCTGCTCTATGTAATCTAAGTAATCCAAGTAGCTGTAAATTGTAAATTTTTCTCGCAATCCGCGAATTATATTCAACATGCGCGCCATATTGTTAAAATAACATTCCCAGCATACCCCGTTTCCGGATCAAGAGTTGTGAAAGCTGAGTACAAATAAACCAATGAAAATAAGTTTAATAATGATTGAGTTCAATCAATGTCGACAATATACTCAAACAGACAACACACGTAGACCCGCTAACATTTAAATCTGTCAACAGAAATAACATAATATATCGATGTTGGCGAAATCAACAGTAATCTAATTGTATTGACTAATTTATCTTGACCATGACCTCCTGAACCTTTATCACGTGGTTCACCCTCCAGAATGGCGCTATAATACGTTTTTGATATTGTGATAATGGATTATGTCCGACTATGGACTGTACACACTAGAAGATGTTATACTTAGACTATAACTACGTAATATCATATGTATAGTAATTACTATTACATTGCGAATGGGTCCCTGCTTCAAATTTATCGGCATTTTTTATTTTTATACTTTTCCGAGTCTTTATATAGGTCAAAGGACAACATATTCGTTCCACTGGACAACTGGTCACTGTACCTTGTTTGTGTCGAGAGGACGTTAAACCCGGTTTCTCTCTCTCTCTATTATTAAGTTACGGGACTGTTATCCTACTCCTAGTGTAATATAATACTGTGCCGGTGTACACCCCCCCCCCCAAAAAAAAAAGAAAAATTGGCTCATAAAACAAAATAGGTCTACGAAACAATAACGGTTGGTGGTTTTACGGTCACTGGTGTGGTTGCTTTCCTCGGCATTTTCTTCTGAAGCTCTATCAATGGCCCTTCGTCCAAAATTTCAGCATTAAAGCTATCCTCTTTCTTCTCCCCATACTGAACCATATATACACCACCCACTCTCACTTCAGTAAATACCTTTGATCGGGATACTACCATAGTTGTATCGTCGTCCTGGAACTGCACTAAAAAGTGCGTACTCTCTCGTATTAATGTCTTTTTTTTTTAAATCTCATACATTTATTTCGGGTAAATAAATTTGAACATATTTGGATATTTTAAAATGCTTTAAATTACATGCAGCACTATAATAATACAGAATTCGACAAAAATTACGTTTCCACTAGAATAAATAATGGACAGATGAAAAACATTGAAATGCTGTAACATTAAAAATGGATATTTTAGCCATGAACATTTCACTTTTGTAATAAATATAATATAAGAGTGCAATGCAAAATTGAAATATACATTCTTTCATAATCTTACACGAAAGGCGAAATACGAGGACGTAACAAAAGCCATATATAAAATGACATAGAAAAAGACAAAAATATAAATGGAAATATAATTGGGAATAAATATTCTTTCATAATCATGTCCTATACGACATGTCCTTGTTGCCATGTTGAAATAATTCAGGAAGAGCTGATTTTCGTTCGTTCGTTTCTGTGTTATATATTCGTTTCGAGTTAGTTTGGCTTCCAATACAAGCCAATATTTGAAAATATAAATAATAAAAACGATAAAACATCAAAGAATGAACCGAATACTGGTGTGATTTTAATGGATTAAGTAAGTTGAACAGTAGATACAAGACAAGGTGATCAACAAAGGTTAAAAAGTAATTTCACTGATTGAGTACAATTACGTATGTACACAAGCGCATGCGGCAAACGCCACAAAAGGGTCAATCACACCGGAAAAGTATATTCCTGAGTATTGTGATTCTGAGATATTCCATCAAATTGAATTCCTTTCCTTTGTGATAAGACGAGTTGTAACGACATGTTCTTTGATCTGGATAAACAATGTGCCAATACTACCTTTAATTGGTGAATCGCATAAACAGTAAAAAGGTTTCATGTTAATGACCAACTGTAACATGCACGAATGTATTTGACGTAAAATTTTTAAACAAAAAGTTCATGACAAATACCCCCCTGGGGTGTAGGGGGTGATAAGAATATACCCTTCGTATGTCCTGCGTGTCGTAAAAGGCGACTAAAAGGATCCCTGTAATGGGGCAACGTGTTTGCCGTGCGTTGCGACCCGTGTCGGTGGAGAGTGGAATCCTGGTAATTGAGTGGGGATTTGGCTTGCGAGCCCTTTCTCTGCAACACATTACTTTGGCCCATGGTTCACCTAGACGGGAGGTCAGAGTGGCCCACTCTGATCAATCGGCTTTGGTCGTTTTTAGCTCTGTAGAATGTATATTTTTCCAATTTCATTGCTTTGTTGTTTTCACTCAGCAAGTTTACCTTTGTGTCCTGAGTACATTCTACAGAGCAGCGGCTTGGGTCAATCAGGTTAGACAAGTATTTTTACTTTCTGGCTTGAGTATACCCCTCGTCGAGCCCTGAGGCCATGCGCCGGATATCCGCGCTAGTCCTCCCCTTAGTAGGCAGGGCAGTAACCTGGGGGACGACGAGGGGTGAAACAAAGATATATTATACATGGATTCCCCAATCCCCCCCACACCACCTATTAATAAACAAAATAAAATAAAGCAGAAACGTCCTAATACTGAGGACGTTTCTGACTTATTTACAAATAAATTAAAAATATCAAAGGCATGGCCGAGGTTTCTCTTGATTGAGAGTCCCTCTACCGACCTTTCTAAAGTTTCCCCATTTTTGATAACCAAGGGTATCGCTGGCTTGGCCGGTGAACCCAAGGCTATCAAAAAACTTAAGAATGGAACATTATTGATAGAATGTGCCAAGGAGCAGCATGCTACCATGCTGCTTAAATCAACATCTTTGGCAGACATCCCTATCAAGGTGTCTCCACATAGGTCATTGAATTCAAGTAGAGGAGTTATTCGTTGTCGGGATCTTGAAGGCAGCAGTGAGGATGAAATGGTGGAATACCTTTCATCTCAAGGCGTCCAACATGTTAAAAGAATAAGTGTACGCCGAGGAGACAAGGTGATTGCAACAAGCACCTACATCCTCACTTTTAATCGTCCCGACATTCCAAAGACTCTCAAGGCAGGTTATTTGAATATTCCTGTTGATGCTTATATAGCTAATCCTCTTCGCTGCTATAAATGCCAAAAGTTTGGACACAGCAAAACTGTCTGCAGAGGTAAGGACACCTGCGCTCGTTGTGGCCATGATGGCCACGAAAGCGCTACCTGCCAGGCTGAGTTTTGTTGCGTAAATTGCAAGGGTAAGCATTTTGCTTATTCCCGCGAGTGTCCAGTATGGCAGAAAGAGAAGAAAATTCAACAGATTATGTCTGAGCGGAAGATATCATACTTCGATGCCAAGAAACAGGTAGAACTTACTGCACCTTTTCCCATTGCACCACAAGGGAAAACTTTCTCAAGTGCAGTCAAAGCATCTACAAAATCTATTTCTGTTCAGACAGATATAACCTGGCCTAGAAAAGAGAAAATGCCTAGAACAATAACATCAGATCATAATAAAGGGGTATCGAGCTCCTCTCAAACAAATGAGAGCTCGACCGAAACTATTATTTCTTTGACTGGCGAGGGTTCATCCTCCTTGCCTCAATCCGAAGTTGTTGGGATCATTCCTAACACTTCCTCTCAGAATGGCAAGGGGTCATCTCCCTCGCCTCCCCTTGAAGCTGTTTTCCTTGATTCCAGTTCTACTGGATCAGGATCGCAGTTAAAGGGTAATTCTTCAAAGAAAGATAAATTAGCAAAGTTTCGTGAGGGAGGGAAGAAGGGTTCAAAAGACCCAATCTCTCTCTATAATAGATATGGGGATGATCTGATGGACGGTATTGCCGTCGTGGATGTCCATACGGACCCACATGGTAAGCCGTCAAAAAATAAAATTCCCTGACAATGGTAAATTCCATTATTCAATGGAATTGTCGTGGTTTAAAACCAAATTTTAATGAAGTCCAATTATTAATTCAAAAGCACAATCCTTTAGCTATTTGTTTACAGGAAACTTTTTTACGGAATTCTGACACTTTGTCTTTTAGACAATTTGTTGGTTACCATCATCATTCAGCTGGTGATGGTAGAGCTCATGGGGGTGTCTCTATTATTCTTAATGGAGATACCCCTCAAAGTAAAGTCACACTCAACTCGCCTTTACAGGCAGTTGCAGTAAGGGTGACTTTGCATATTCCTATAACACTCTGCTCTGTATATCTTCCACCAAGTTTACATCTTAATCCCCGAGATCTTGATGACCTTGTTGCACAACTTCCTCTCCCATTTATTATTACGGGAGATTTCAATGGTCACCATTCGCTCTGGGGTAGTCCAGATGATAACAACAGAGGTAAACAAATAGCGGACTTCATTAACCTTAATAATTTGTGTTTATTAAATGACGACTCGCCTACATATCTACATCCTGCCACAGCTTCTTTTTCTTCCCTAGATCTCACCATTTGCTCTCCGGTCCTGTTTCAGGATTTTACATGGAGAGTAAATGAAGATCTGTGTGGTAGTGACCACTTTCCTATCTTGATTGATAATAATGGCCCCTCTCCGGTCGAAAGACCCCAGAGGTGGAAGTTGCATAAGGCTGATTGGGCTCTGTTTGAATCTTTGTGTCTCTTCTCTTTTGATATAAAGGAGTTAGAAGATGCAGTTGAGCCCATGGCCTTATTCACTTCAATTCTTCAAGATGTAGCTGAGCAGGCGATTCCAAAAACCACGACTGAACCAAAACGTTTCAATAAACCATGGTATAATGACGATTGCAAATCCGCTCTAAAAGAGCGTGATCGTATCCTAAGACGACTAAAGAACCATCCTTCCATGGAGAATATTGCGGCATACCAGATG